AAAGCGGGCCTGGGTGACACTCGTCCCTGCGCAGCCCAGGGGTTCCACAAGTGACATGGAGAGCCGTCAAACACGAGGACAGGAGGCCCCTGGCTGCCAGCGGGAGCTGGGCCGCACGGCACCCTGCGGAGTGGCTGGAGGGGGCGCAGGCTCAGTGCCACGTGCCCCTCAGGGTGTCCGGGAGACGGGCCCGGGACGCCTTTCTCGCGTGTGGGTGGACACACAGTTTCTGCTGCTAACACTGTTCACACATGGTGAACAAACGGCTGAGCATTTAATGGGGTCTCCAAAGGACACCCTGACTTTCAGGGTTCCCTTCACGCACCCCTGAGAGCCACGAACTGTCATAATTAGTGGAAATTCCCTTCAGAACCCCCCGAGGCCTCCATCCCCACCCCCGCCCCCACTCCGCCCTGGCTCCCGAGCTCCGGCCCACGTCTGCCCGGGGGATGTCACGCTCATGCCCACTCGGGGGCCCTCTCTCCTCCCCGTCCGGCCAAGCCCGCCCCCCTTCAAAGCTCATCCTCTCCTCCCAGGCAGCGAAGCCCCGCGCGGTGCCGGTCCCCACCCCAGGCCCTGGAGCTCCAGAGAGAAGATCATGTCCCACTCCTCCGGACCTTGGTCCAACACCTGGAGGCCACGGTGACTCGTGGGGCAGCCACCAACGTGTCAGCCCTCCAGCGGTACCAACACCAGTATCAGCAGTTGCAACCCTCCCCAGCTCCTCAGCCGTATAGCCAGGTATACGGTGATGCTAAAGGGATAGAGACACCTTATAGCATCAAAAGGGGGGACTGTGACAGGACCTACCGTGCAGTAGCTATTCCCAGATAGCAGCTGGGACAGCAGCCAGCCCCAGATAAGCAGTTATCTCAAGGTCGTGCGCTAGCCCTGCTTTCTGCTCCTGCGTGCCCACTTCCAGCAGCTGCACTCCCCCCCGCCCCCTTTGCCTCTGTAACAAGGATACAAATCAGCCCCAGTCTAAAACTCGGGGCCCAGAATTTGGAATTTATCTCCCCCGGGTCCGCATGCATGAATAAAACCCCACTTCGCAAACTCCGAGGCCGTCTGAGTCATCTTTTCCATAACACCACTGGGGCTCCCAGTCGTGGCAGGGACACAGAGGTGTCACTTCCAACCATCACGACCGGGACACACAAAGGGGCCGGGGGCCAGGGTGAAGGGTGTGCACTCATTCACTTCAACTAACCCTCCCAAGGATCCTACAGGGCAGTTAGTATAGCCGTCTCCGTTTCACAGACAGGCAAACGGAGGCCCAGAAAGGTTGCGTAGCTCGTCCAAGGTCACAAAGCCAGTAGCCGGTGGAGCGGGTGCTCTGGCTGCAGAGCTCACTTTCTTATCTGCCACGTGCTCAGAACAGATGGGCGCATCTGTCGGGAGTCCAGAGGGAGGAGGGACCGAACCTGCCTAGGAGCCAGGGGGGGCTTCCTGGAGGAGGGGGCAACTGTGCTAGACAGCAGGGGTGGGGGCTTCAGGCTGAGAGGACAGCATGAGAGAAGCCCGGCGGGGGGGGGGGGGGGGTAGGCTAGACTGTGTCTGGTGGGCACAGCCCGTCAGGGTGGTTGGGGGGCGTGGGTAATGCCAGGGCGCTGCCAGGTCAGCAGGGCCCGCGGGTCCTCCCCGAAGAGCCCGGGGTTTAGTCCTGTGGGCAGCCGGGGCTGGCAGGGCTGTTCTCACAGGCGGGACAGGTCGGGCGGGACAGGTCTGCCCGATGGCTGCTCCAGGAGAGGGCGGGCAGGGCCGGAGGTGGGGAGGGGCCCCGGGGCTACAGCCCTCTCTCTCCTGGCTCCTTCCCTCACTCTGAGATCCTGGGCGGGGGGCTGCATCTCTGAGACTCAGTTTCCCCCTCTGTAACCTGGAGGCAGAAATGGCACCTGCCTCCCTGGTGGCTGGAGGCCGGAAGAAGACATTGCAGATAAACGTGCCCAGCAGAGCCAGGCTGGGCTGGTGTTGCCGCGTCCCTAGGGCCTCAGGAAGTCCTCCCTGAGAAAGGATGTGGGCAGGTGACCCCCTAGGCCAGTACTCACCACCACCTCCAGGTCGGAATTCAAGTGTCGCTGGGTGTCCGACATCTGCACCAAGATCTCACCTACGGGCCCAGAGAACCACAGCTTCATGAGGGGAACCTGCCCTGCCCACCCTCTTCCTGCCAGAAGCTTCCAGAAGGGCCTGCCTGAGGCTGCATTTCTGGACCAAAGTCCTGGGATTTCCCATGTGACTCTAGGACTCGGGGCAGCACCTGTCCCAGCACCTGTCCCAGCCCGGCAGGGAGGGGTGGGGAGGGGCTCGGGCTCCGGGCTGCAGGGCCTGGGCTTTTGTGGGGGCGGACTTCCTGGAAGGGCAAGATTACAAAAGCAATGCCTTCTGGGACCCGAGGCTGAGGGGCAAGGCAGCCCTGGCCCGAGGGGAGGCAGCGGGAAGGCAGGCAGAGCATCTCTCCGGAGCCTGGGCAGCAGAAGGCCTGGGCGGGGGGGGGGGGGGGGGCACAGCGGGACGGGGAGCCCTCACCCAGGATCTGTGACGTGGAACTCTGCAGGGCCTGCTCCCCGATCTTCTGTATGGCGTTGAAGTACACCTCGGCTGCCTCCGACAGAGCTGCGTGGGGAGGAGGAGTGGGTGCGGCTGCCCCCCCTTCTGCAGACCCCTCCCTCCATCAGGACAGGGTGCAGGGGACACTGTGGGATCTGGCTTGGATGCACGTGAGGGGGCACACTGGGTGGGGTGGGTCTGTCCTGGGCTGGGGGGTGCAGGCATCTCTGTGAGCCCATCGGGAGGGTGGGCGCAGGTGTCGGGGGCATGGAGTGGGGGTGGGTGAGGGGTGGGCTCCAGCTGCTGGTGGGGGAAGCAGACTTTGACTCTGAAGGCAGAGAGGGTTTGTGGGGGCAGTTGGCTCCAGGTGTGTCCCAGCCTGTCCATTGCACAGATGACGCGGGACGCTCTGTCCACAGCCCTGGTGGAGGGTGTGTTGCTGGGAAATGGTGAGTGGCTGTCCAATGTGAAGTATAGAGAACATGGGTGGGGGTACAGAGAACATGGGTGGGGGTGCAGGGAACGTGGGTGGGGGTGCGTGCGTCTGTGTACAGCGGACAGGGCGGGGCGGGGGCCTGTGGCCAGGCACTCACCGTGGAAGGCCCGCAGGTAGTTGTTCCCCAGGTACACCAGGTTCTCCAGGGCGGGGTTGAACTGCTCCATGATGCTCTGGACCCCGAGGGCAAGGGGAGGGGGGATCAGTGGGACAGGAAGAAATGAAGGCCAGAAGCAAGTCGCTGGGCCCCTGAAGCAGGGCACCCCTGGCCCCAGTGAGGGGCCTCCAGAACCTAGGGGAGCCCCCCTAGAACCCTGGTGGCAGGGATGGCTCTGGGCTTGGACTTCGGTCTTGGTTCAAATCCCTGCAGCCCTGCCGCCTCCCTCCGTGACCTTGAACAAGCTGTTTGACCTCTCTGGCCTCAGTGTTCTCATCTATCCAACCAGGTGATTTTTTAACTCTACAGGTGGGGTGTTTGGAGGCTTACATGGAAAAGGGTCCTGCACACAGTCGGTGCTCAATAAATGTCTGTGGGGATGGCAGCGACTCCCCTGGAGTGGGGCAGCAAGGCTGAGTGAGGGGCTCAGCAACAAGAGAGAGACAGACACAGACAGACACACACACACAGACACAGACAGACAGATAGGCACAGGCGCAGGGACACAGAGCGAAGCTGCCAGTTGGCCGTCTGGACCCCCTGCTCCGAGCTACAGCCACGCCGGGCCCTGTCCCGCCTCGCCCAGCGTGGCAGAGCCGTCTCAGCAGGCCTGCCACTCGCCGGGGACTGCAGACAAACCCCTCCCTGGGGCCTCAGTTGGGGCTGGGGTGGTGAGTGCCTTCCCCCAGAAGTCCCCACGGTGCCCAGTGCTCAGCCCAGCCCGGCCCCACATCTTTCTTGCCAGAATATTCCACAGCCACACTCACCCTCTGTACCCCTGAGCTGGCCCGAGCCCCACACCCTGGGACAGGGTGCTCTGGCCCCGGGCTGGCTGCAGGTGCGCTCACCTTGTAGATCGCCATGGTGGACCTGTAGAACTGGTCCATCTCGGGGGCCATGGGCGGCCGCGCCCAGGTGCTGAGCAGAGGCTGAGCAGAGGCTGGGCGCAGGGCGGGGAGCACGGGGGTCCCGAGGCAGTGCCCACTGCTCAGCAGGCAGTGCAGGAGGCCGCAGAGCGGGACTCGGAGACGGAGGCCGGCCTCGGAGGGGGTGGCAGCTTAATTATTCACCAGCCAGGGATGTCAGCGCGCGATCTGGATCTGGGGCGTAACCGGACCCCGCGGGGACGGCATCCTGTGACGCAGGCCGGTTCGTGTGACCTGCCCTTCAATTATTTACCCCTCGGAGCCGTGGCCGGCAGGCACGCGTGGGTGAGCCACTCTCCCAGACCACCTCCCCCTCCAAGACAAGGCTTCATCGGGCCAGCCGGGACCCCTGGCTCTGGGGGATCCCTGACCTTCACCTGCCATGGCGGGTACTGCCCACCCAATTGGGCTGGGACTGCTCGTCGCCCTCCCCCAGGGCCCCCCGGCAAACCCCCTGGAGCCCGAGCACACCCACGGGCCACCACTGTTGCCAGGCTCCGTCTCTGCCCTGAGCCCCTCAGGCCAGACCTGCACTTCAAGGGCCCATGCCCCACGCCCTCTGCGCCTGCCCAGCTCCTCTGCAAGTTGGCGAGGGGACAGCGCCAGCTCCAATGTCACACAGGCCTGGGGGCCAACCTTGGCCCTGCTCGCTCACTGAGACCGCCTGAGCCCCGTCCCTCCCTGGCCTCCCACCCTGGGGCAGGGGGGCCTGACTGCCGCCTCTGAACACCCTTGCCAGCCTGATTTGGGGGCCAGGGGGAAACACGAGGCACCTCCACCCCAGGGAGCCCAGAAAACAGAGCAGACATGCGAGTGGGCACATGAAGACCACGGCCAGGCTGGAGGACAAGGCTGCAGGGAGCACTCACACCACAGCACACACAACCCAGGGCAACGGGAGTCAGACCGTTTATTTCACAGTCTGGGCCGGGCCAGCCCCGCCCCGCCCCACCCCGCCCCGCCGATGAACCAGTCCTGTCGGGAAGAATAACTTAAGTCTCAGGAGCGACCGTTGGGAGCTGGAGCAAGCTCAAGGGGCGGGGCGGGGTGGCTCTGAGGGGTGCAGGTGGCTGGGCCGTGTACTAGGGGGCAAAGTTGAACGAGGTACACACTCCTTGAGCGTGGGCTGTCCCTGCTGCTAGGGCGGGTGGTGGCCGGTGTCTGTAGCTTCTCCAGCCCCGCCCACCGGGGAGAAGGCAGAGGACGGGCGGGTGGGGCAGCGGCACCCCCAGGGGACCTGGGAGAGCCGAGGGCTGGGGCACAGCTGGGCGCCCCTGGTGTTTGACACGAGAGGTTGAGGGGCCTGGGAGTCAATTGTCCTCGGCAGGCAGGGAGCAGGCCCCGGCGAGACTCCAGGGTGCGACTCCAGGCTCTGTGGGCCTGGAGCCACAGAGAGCGCCAGAAGGCCGGGACAGAGGGGGAGAGAGGCCTGCGGTCCCAGCCTCGGGCGGAAGCCCAGCGCCCCGAGGCCCCGCCTGTGGACACAGCAGCCCGGCCTGGCGCTGCCCAGCGGTGTGGTGCTCGGGCCTCAGCCACCTGCCCAGCGGGGTCGGGTGGCGGGCGGCGCTGGGGCCTGGCGGCCCTACGGTGACAGCAGCGACTGGACGAGCTTCTGGAACTGCTCTCGGTGCTCGTAAATGTAGACCTCGGTCTCCCAGAGGGCGCCGACCAGCACCGAGTCGCTGACCTCGTCCAGCATGATGTCCATCCCCAGCTGGGGGTTCAGTCTGCCCAAGTCAAGGAAAAGGGGTCACCCAGGACTCTCGGCTAGGATTTGGAAGAGGAAAGGTCTGTGCCGAGGGTGGGAGTGGGGAAGGTCGTCAGACCCCGCCGGGCTGGGGGGCGGGGTGGGGAGGGGGCTGAGGGCCGGGCGGGCGGAGACCCACCTGAAGTACTGGATGCCGACCATCTCGCACCAGGCCCGGGCCCGGTCCACGGCCCGCCCGTCTGGATCCGTGCACTGGCGAGAAGCAGCCCCCGTGAGCACCCAGCACACGCCGCACCCACAGCGCCTGCCTGGGACCCCCGGGTTCCCCTCTGGCTTAGCCACGGTCAGTGGAGGGACTCTGGGCAAGTCCCAGAGTCGCTGCTGGGCTGCAGCAACTGTCCCAGTTGTGTAAGCAGAGGGACACAGTCTGTGGCTCTGACAGGTGCTCGGCAGGGCCCTTTTAGGGTCAGCGAGCATGGTGGGGGCGGGCGGGTGCTGCGGGGACAGGCCTCCACGCCCCCCCGGGACCCCACCCCCGCAGCTGTGGTCCACCCGATTTTCCAGGCTTCCGCACGGGGCTATTTGGAGGAAGGGACCCACAGCTACAACTTGAGACCCCACTGGAGGTGACCCCCGAGGGTCCCTGCTGGTACAGAGACTCTGCATCGGGGACCCCCTGCCCTAGGCTCGCTAGAGAGGGCTGGGGGAGCCTCCCTGACACCCAAGGTGCCCCGGAGAGGTGACGGCATCATCCTGGCGCTGAGAGGCCCATACTCACGCAGTCCACCACCATTTTGCCCAGTTCCCTTGCTCCAAAAACAGTCTTGGCCAGTTCCCAGGGGTTGCTGGGGCGGAAGACGTCCACACAGGTCACGGGTACCTGTGGGGACCTCCCTGTCCCCAGAGAGACGACGAGGGAGAGTTTCTTCACCTTGTCACCCTGACCCTGATGGAGGCAGGACAGGGGTGGTGAGAGGAGACCTTGCCCTGGTGGGCCTTTCCCAGGGGTGTGACAGGCCCAACTCTGGGGTCCCGGGAGCATGAGGAGATGGGCGGGGCCTCCTGCGGCAGCAGCCCTTCCTGTCCTGCCTCCGCCTTTGCCCCAGAACAAGCGCTGCGGCCTACCTGCTGGGTGACCTTGTTGAGCCACTCCCACCCGGGGTCGTGGTCCGCAACGGGAGGCAGCTTAGATGGATGATGTCAGACCACCCTTCCTCGTCCCACAGCCTCCTCCTCCAGAAAGCCTGCCCTGCTCGATGTGGCCCCTAGAGGGCGCTCACCTCTCTGAAGGCAGAGCCCCTGCTTCCCCATCCAGGGGCTGCACCCAGAACTTAGGGATGGCCCCAGCGGTGACCAAGGCCAGCAAGGATGTGGCACACTCGGGGTCAGGCACTGTCCTAAAGACTCGACACGCAGGAGCGCAAGGAAGCCTCCGGACAGGCCCCAGGCCGGTGCTGTCGGTGAGCCCGCTCAGAGGGGCGGGCAGAGCCGGGACCCAGACCCAGAGGCTCCCACACCACTTAGTGCTCACCTTGCGGATCATGTCCTGGTTGTACTCATGGATCTCCGTCATGGCGTCCAGCGTCGGGTTGTTGGCCAGCAGCCCGCCGTCCAGGAAGCGCCCAATAGGCCGGAAGTAGGTGGGCGCTGCCCCGCTGCTCCGGGCCGCCTGCCACACCAGCTGCTCTGCGGGTGGGGGAGGGGGTGGCTCGGTGGGGCAAGGGGCTGGTGTAAGCCCGAGCTCTTTGGAGCGCGGTGGGTGTGGGTGAGGGCGTGCAGGCTGCGGGACCAGGGAGACGCAGGGAACTCTTCAGGAACAGGCCCGACAAAGCCGTGCCGTCCGGCCCTGCCAGCCTGGCAGGAGGCAGGTGTGGCTGAGGACCACCGGGGGCCTCCTCCGGCCTGTCTGAGGCCCGACGCCTCCCCGGCTCTGCCCGTCCTCAGCCAGAAAGAACTCAGGGCAGCAGGTGAGAGGGTGGGGGGCTAGGGGTGCCCAGTGGCAAGCCCACGACTCCCACCCACCGCCCCGCAGCCTTGCCGGCCAATCGCTTCCCACAGATGCTTCCCACACTGTTTTCACCTGAGGGGTGAGTCGGAGGCTTTAGGTTAATGTTCTGGCCGAAACGAGGCTCCCGCACAGACTGCGGGGCCTCGTAATTCCGGAAGAGATGGAGCTCGGCCGGCTGCCGGTCGGACAGCGTCCCCGTCAGCATCACCCTGCAGAGAGGCGAGGGCAGGACAGCTGAGGCCCCTGTCCCTCTGCCCCTGGCAGTCCACTTGCGGGAACTCACCCCCGGGGCGCTGCCGCACGCGTGGGGGTGGGCACGCATGAGGGTCTCAAGGGCGGCACCGCTTGTCAGAGCAAACGACCGGCCGCGAGGGAGCTGCCACCTGCGGGGTGGGGGGGTCTCTCCGCACGTACTGATGGGCAGCGGGCGCCGAGCGGCGTCGCGGTCACTGGGCAACGAGGCCCAGGACGGCGTGCACAGCACGCCGCAGCTCATTTCACTTAAAAGCGCAGAGCTGACGAGATAGAAGGGGGCCGCCGGGGGGGGGGCCACTCCTAAGGGTGAGCGGGGCCCGGAGAGGTGAGCGGGGCGCAGACACGGCTCCGAGCCGAGGGCGGGCACCGGCTCAGTCAACGCGTCCGTCAGGGTGGGCGGCACACAGGGCCAGGGGGACGATGTCGGACCCCAGGGCCCCCCGAAGGCTGGGGGTCTAGTGAGAGACCCTCCCTATGTTAGGCTGGGACCCCAGAAGGCTGCACTCTCGGACAAGGGGGACCAGAAATAAACCTGCCCCTGTCCCAGGCCCGCAGGGGGTGCGGGGAGTTGCCCCGGCCAGGGGCAGAGGAGGGAGAAGACACTCCCCGAGGAGGAACAGCCACGACTCGCGCTCCTTCCGATCGGCATCGCCGGGGCAAGTCTCCAAACGTGCACATCAAGAATCGCGTTAGAGTGGCCCTAGACGGGCGTGGAGCTGGGGGCCTTAAAGAGACGGCACAGGACACCCTGAAGGCAGGCGCCCTTACTCCGGCCTCACAGGGTCTGCGCATACTCTTCTTCGGCACGAAGGCACACCACACAGGTAACAAGTGCAGGGGCGGAGGGGCGCACCGTGAAATAAAACACCATGGACGTGAACCAGCAAAAGCCAGCGTGAACAGTGGAACACACCCACACAGAGTGCAGACGTCTGCATCCTCAGAGAGTATGAAAGAGTCATTCTGACAACGTTTACAGGCATCAAGGGCAAGCCCGATACAACACCTTCAGGGAACAGGAAGCTATATGTAACGACCTAGAATATGTGAAGAACCAAAGAGTACTTCTAGAAATTAAACAACAAACCAACAGGAAAAAAAAAAACAACCCCAACTCAGTGGATGTGGGAAATGGAGATTTAGATGGAGCCGCAGAGAGACTTTGTGAACTGGAAGACGGGAGAGTGGGAATTACCCAGAATGCCACTCAGAGCGGCCAAGCGACAGAAGGCAGAAGCACAAAGCGCAGCTGAGAGACACGGAGGAGAGGCCGGTCTAACCGTGTCTCGTTGGGGCTCCAGAGGAGCGGGCAGGAGTGGGGACGGCGCGGAGGCGAGCGTCAGCGAGACGGCTCCCTGGGCTGGGGAGAGACGCTGGTCCGAGGACGGCAAGAGACTGACAAACCCCCGTGCAGGGGGAGCGGGAGGGGATCCGCGTTGGGATGTGTCCTAACACAACTGGCCGCAGAGCACGAGACGCAGAGAAGCACGTTGAGGCGTCCCGAGAAAACAGGCCAATGGCCTCCGAAAGAGCACTGGTCAGACCGGAGCCGACTTGATCTCGGACTCGACATAAAAGGAACAAACTATACGAAGGAAAACGTTTATAAGTTCTCCTATGTTGAGAACACCTGTTCACCACCAAAACACCTTACAGAGAGCGAGAAGACAAGCCGTGGAGTGGGAGAAAGATTTCAAATCCACACACCCGTCAAAGGACTAGTTTTCACAAAATAAGAAAAGATCATTAAGAAGCCTCATAATCCCCAAATCACACAACCCAATTTTGCCCAAAATCGGCAAAGCGCTTGAACAGGAACAGTTACAAAAAGAGGAAATCCAAAGGGCCTTGAAACCTGTGATATGAAAAGCTGTTTCAACCTCCCCAGTCATCAGGGAGACGAGAATTCAAAGCACACAGATATACCACCTAACACCCCCCAGGTCTGTAAAGGCAAAAATGCTGGACAATTTGCAAAAATGCAGAGCGACAGAACTCTCAAGAAAAGGCAGATGGGGTGAAAACAGAAACCAGCCCTCTGGAGGACGGTTGGGCAGGACCTGATGGGGTGGCCGGGCGCCCCGACAGTCGGCAGCCCCACTCCCAGGCGCATACACGCTCCAGGGCACCTGTACACGCGCGGGCCAGAAAGCAAGCCCCACGGGGGTCGCTGCAGCTCTGTCTGCAAGAGCTCCGACCTGGACGCAGCCTGCGTGTGCGTTGGAGGGACTCAGAGAAGCAACTGTGGGCCGTCTGATGAGGGAGGAGGACGGGGAAGCACAGCCCGCCCCCAGCCGCAGGGCCCGTGCTCCCAACCCAGCAGCAGCGGTGTCGGGGAGAGAGCACACACAGAACGACTCCTTCTGGGCCCGGGAAATCCCGCTGCAGTCAGGGGAACAGTGGCTACCCCAGTGGGACGGGAAGCTGTGATGGCGGTGGGGCATGTAGTCAAGGGGCTTCTGGACCTCTGGCAGGTGGTCACGTGAGCATTTGCTTCCTACTTATTCACTGATGTGGTTTTATGTCATTTTCTAAATGTAAGTTTTACTTCACCATAAAAAAGAGAAAAGAAATCCAGGATAAAATATACAAAAATGTTTTTAAAACACTGTCTTTGATTAGTTAGTCTTGGATGATATTTTCCAACTCTCCTTAAAAGACTATACATTATTCTTCAATGGGGGGAAAAAGCTTTACTATAAAAACAAATCCTCCCAAGCCCTCTAGGTCTCACTCACACTTCCCTTCCTCCAGGAAGCCCTCCCGGACCACCCCACCCTCAGCCCTCTGCCCCTTGCACGCACAGACAGCCAGTGATGAACACTTTCCAGTGGCAGGCTCTGGGGCAGGCGCTGTGCGAGGGGCTGGGGCTGCAGAAGAGACAGAAGCCCCCTGCCTGGCAGGCAAGATGGGAATGACACAGACAGTAAAGTGATTCCGGGGCGGGGGGTGCCACCAAGTAGCGGTGCTGGAGGCTCTTCCGGAACCCCTTGAACTAAGCCCGCACCGCCTTCCTTGTACGGCTGCCACCCTTTTGGGGCCCTTGTCTCCCAGCCACATGGCAAGCCTTGCCACCTGCTGCTCGCACCTGCTCCGCCCTCCCCGTCGTGTGCGCATGTGCTCACACACACAGGGATCCCGGGGAGCAGCCGTGCTCAGCACATTAGTCCTGAACGTGCGTCAGCTGAGAATCGACCCCCCTGCCCCTAGGTTGAGCCATTCGGGTGGGGAAAACATCCGATATGGGTGGAGGCTATTTTCCACCCCGGTCCTCCAGAAGTCCCTCGTTTCCTCGGGGAGAAGCCGCTCCGCCCTGCCCGCCCCCGCCCCCACCAGCTTTAATCAGACCGGGACTGGGAGCCTCGGCCCCAGAACAGCCAACGGGGCGTAGAGCTGGGGCCGCGGCCGCAGTGCCCCCCCCCCCCCGCCCCACACACACACAGCAGGCTCACTTGGGCTTCCTGACGTCCGTCATCTTGGTGTGCTCGCCAAACTCCCGCTTCAGGAACTCCTCCAGGGGCCCCGACTCGTAGGGCCGCGAGCCCCGGAACACCTCGTCCTTCATGCGGAAGTACACGCCGCGCATGTAGGCCATGGACTTGCCTAGGGACAGGGGCGTCGGGCGGGGGTGGGGAGAGGCACCGGGCCCGAGCACAGTGGCCACAGGCACTGACCGAGCCCCCCGCCCCGCACCTGCCCCCGCAGGTGGACGCCTCCTCGAGCGGCCCAGACAGCTCCGTGAAGGACGTATCACTTGAGTCTAGGCAAGTCCAGCCCAGAAGCTGACCAGTCCTGACCCCGACCCGCCCTGCACCCGCCGTCCAGGGGCCACCCTCACTGTGCAGAATGGCCAGGGCCAGGATGCCTCCCGTGCTGGTCCCGGCCACCCAGTCGAACAGGTCCTTGGTGGCGATGCCCGAGGCCTTCTCGATGGCGATGAGGAGCTGGATGATGACCAGGCCTTTCACACCCCCTCCGTCCAGGCAGAGCAGGTGGTCGTGGCTGCGGTGGGGACGGCAGCGGGACGGGGGAGGGCTCCGTCACAGCCCAGCACTCCACCTCTGCACTCAAACCCCCGACCCTGGGCGTCGCTGCCGGGGCAGCTGTGTGAGCACACGGAACCTGTGCCTATGGGAGCCTGCCCTGCCCCCTGCCGGGGCTGGCATGGTGGCCCGGCCAGGAGACAGCCCCCAGCCGCAGAACGCGCCTGGCTTGGAAGACCTGGGCCTGTCTCTACTCTGACACTCACTCAGTGTGACCTTGAGAAGGACTCAACCACTGGGGGACTCAGGTTCTGCGGTCACTAAGCTCTCCCTAGGAAGGCTGCTGGGGTGGGAGCGCAGGACAGCAGCAGACAGAGAGTAAGCCACCTCTATTGCCAGGGGAGGAGCAGGGAGAGCTGCCCATGAGAACCACGTCTATCCCGGTGGCCGGCTACGCTGGTGGCGCTGGTTCTGGGCCTGGGACTGTCGCCCAGGACGTGACGTGGGCCTCTTCTCTGTTAGCCCACCACGCAGGCCTGCCTCCTGCAGCGGGTCCGGGTGCACCGTGGGGCTCGGGCAAGCAGCCCAGTCCACCAGCTCAGTGCAGGGAGGCAGGGTTGGGAGCAGGCCCTGGTCTCTCCAGAGGGCTGTGGGCCACCACCTCCCCCACAGCCGTGGCAGGGTCTCGGGGGAGGGACAGGACGGCAGCCAGCTCCATCGTGTGACCCAGCGCCTGCACAGCCGCTGACAAAGGAGCGGACCCAGGCTCTCTACAGATTCCGTCTTCCGGCTGCGAACCACAGGGGACTTGAGCCGCCCCGCAGGACTGCGGGCGGGCTGGACAAAACCGCAGAGCCCTCTGCGGACGCCCGGCGGAGGCCTCGCATGTGCGGTGCCCTTCCCTCCTCACTCACGTGCGCTTCTCGTCCCGCGTGGAGCTCAGGATGAAGGTCGGCTTCCGGGCCCGGGAGATGTGCACGAGGTCCTGCAGCTCTGCGGGCACAGGGCGGCTGGGCAGGGCCGGCTCGGGGGCAGATCTGAAGCTGTGCCCTCACCCCACGGTCCCCAGCGGGAGCTCGGCCTGCGGCCCCCAGGAAGAGCTCCTTGTCCCAGGAAGCAGCTGAGTCGGAGCCCACAGCCCCTCTGGAGACACGGCTGGAACGGATGGGAGCCCGCTGCCCTGGGAAGGGGCCCCAGCCGGCCCGGCCAGTGCCCGGATTTGCCTCAGCATCTGCCTCCCAAAGCTGCGAGGCCCGGGCGCCCGAGGGTCCTGTGCTCTGCGGCTCACAGCGCGGTTTCCTGCCCGTCCGCCCGGCGTGACCGACAACCCCCAGCACTGCAGCTGCTGTTCCCATTTCACAGACGAGGCTCAAAGGGGTCACATGACTCGCCCAAGGTCACAGCCAAAAGGGCTGAGTCAGGATGCGCCTGGGCATTTAACCCCATGAAGGGAGGGAGACGGCCCAAGCAACTCTTCAGAGGCCCTGCATCCTGACCCTTCTGGAAACCTCCTCAGTGGCCTCGACTTGGATGCGCCCGTCCACTCCGTTCATGTGCCCAAGGCCCACCCTGTCCCCAAGCTGCCCTCCTGACGAGCAGCCCGGCCCCAGGCGGCTGGCGGCAGAGCCACATCTTCCGGCCTGACGGGCCCCCCACAGCACTGTGCGCCGAGTCTAGAAGCAGGCAGCAGGCAGCAGGCAGCAGGGAGCAAGACGGTAGGTGGCCCGTCACCAGGGCAAGTGGCCAGAGAGTGGGCAAGCTAAGCGGGAGACCGGCCAGGAGAGGTGGCGGACAAAGCGCCAGGCAGGGGTGGTAGGGAAAGGGGTGCGTGCTGGCTCGCAGCTGAGAGACGGAAGGAGGAGCTTGGCTACGGGGGACTCGGGGCATGGCGGGCTCTGCGGCCCCTCTAGGCCCAGGGCGTTACCCATCGGACGCCGCGCCCCGGGCCCACCATCCAGCCTGGCTTGGGAGACTGAATGCCTGCAAAAGTGAGAGATAAAGATGGGGGGCAGGCTCCGGGTGGGGGTGGGCAGGCGGAGGAGAGAGGCGGAGCTGGAAGGACTGACGGGCTGCTGGCCCTGCCTGTGCAGCGCCCCAGGCCTGGCTGGGCGATCCTGGGTGGGGGTGCCGGTGTCTGCTTCCCCAACAGCAAAAATGAAAAAGAGGCTGGCTTGCCAACCATGGGTTTCTGACTACCCTGATCGGGGACCCCACTCTCAGACAGTTGAGGGCCCGGGGTGGACTGCCCACAGGAGACCCAGAGTCTCCTCAGGGCCGCCTCCACGGAGCCCAGGACACCTGGGGGCCGACACTGGCTGCCTTTCCCGATCCCAAGCCCGTAAGCCACTGAGCTGAACAGGCCGGCGCGGGAGCGAGCACTCGGCCTCAGGCCCAACAGGGACGCAGCAGCGCTGCAGAAACACCCGCTGAAGCCGGAGGGCCAGTGGCTCTGGCACCCAGGGCTCCCAGGGGACACGGAGAGCCATGAAAGCGCTCACCTCATGGGTGCCAGGGCACACCCAGACCTGAGACCTGAGTCCAGGATGTCCTCTCCGGGGAAAAGCATGGTGGGGTGTGGGCCAGGGAACAACCCCCCCGGCCTCCGGGCTCCAAGAGCTGCTAGCTGCCCCCAGAGGCTAATGCACCCTGCCCGCCCGCCCGCCCTGCCTGTTTCGGGGGCTGCCGCACTGAGGCCCTGTGCTCCCAGGAGCTCTGATCTGGGGGCCTGGGAACCAGCTGGACAGCAGGGAACACGGGGCGGGGGAGGGCCTACCTAGGTTGTTTAAGCTGATTGCTGGTGGCAGGGGCTGAGACCTCTCCAGGGAACAGGAGAAATGCTGTGCTGCTGGGGAGCCCGGCTCCGTGGGGGTCCCTGGGAGGAGTGGCAAGTGGTGGCTGGCCCCTATGGATCTCAGCAGGGTTAAGAGTACCTTCCTGGTGGCAACTGGCGACAGTGTGGGGAGGGGGAGATCGCACGGGGTCAGAAGTGATATCATCATGGGAGGGCAGGGTCCTCCCTTCCACAAACGGCCCCTCTCCCGTCTGCCAGGCTACCCGGGCAGGGCGCGCAGGCTCCAGTCTGCTTCACCCAAAGCAGCTTCCTGGGCCTGGGGGAGACCCCAGCTGGGCCATGCAAAACAGAAGGAGCGGCCGGTGGTGCCCCGCCTGACTGTTCTGGGAACTCTGTCTTTCCCTCGGACCCTGGTGGAGAGAACAAGACTCCCACCTCCCAACGCTGCAGTCCTCCCAAGTGCCGGAGGGAGCGTCTCCTGCAGAGCTCAGAGGGACTGGCCGGCTGGCCAGCCAGCGGGGATTTACTCCCCTCTGACGAACGGGATGACGGAAAAGGAAGCCACAAGAAACAGTGTGCCCATGCACACACGCGTGCTTGCGCACACGGGTGGGTGCACACCCACAGCAAACTCCACAGCTCCCTGAAACCCTCCAGGGGGGTCCAGGCTTCGGGTGAGAAGAATCTGTTTTTTCCAGCCCAAGGCCAAGGTCTCACTAAGTGAGCATGGGGTGCATGCAGCCTGCCTGTGAGCATGGGCATGCATGCACACATGAGTGGTGTAATGCATGCAGCCTGCCTGTGAGCATGGGACATGCACGCACACGTGAGTGATGTAATGCACACAACCTGCCTGTGAGCACGGGGCACGCATGCACACTAATGCAGGGTTCCATCAGTGGATTCCCCAAGGCTGAGGAAGAAGGCTGTGGTCCCCTCTGTCCCGCTCCCTGCACCCTGGCACGCTGGGGTGGGACGGGCCGCACAGGAGAGGACACTGGCTGAGCAAGGCCCTTGGCGGGCTCCATCTCCTGACTGGTCAGGGACCCAGGTCTTGGGAAAAGGAAGCTTCCAGTCTCAGCCTCCCAGGGCTTCCTAGAAACCCTGCGCAGGGAGCCAGGGGGTGGGCGCAAACAAGATGCTGGCACCTGGGAGCTGGGCCCTCCATCCCCAGCCCGGCTCCCCACCATCCCTGCCCAATGCTGGACCCAGAGAGGTGAGCACATACGTTTGCTGATCTTGGAGGCTATGAAGGCAGGAGTCTCCCCAGAGTCATTTGGGGTGTCCACCTCTGCCCCGAACACAATGAGGGCCTTGACCATCTCCACGTTGTCTTTCTGTTGGGGGTGGGGGGTGGGAGGCAGGTATGCAACAGCTCAGGAAAACGAAGAGGAAAGGGACTCTGGCCTCTTCCACCCTACCCATCAACTCGGTGGGCTTCTCGCTGGCCCTCAGCACGGGAAAGGACACTGGGACCTTTGACCCCCGACCCCACCGATCTGGTGCTTCGAAGTCCACACTCTGAAGGCTGGTGCCCTGACAAGCAGGCTTAGCGCCCCCAGGTGAGGGTCTCGGAATCCAGGCAGAAGCCGGCAGCACTCACCCGGTCTCCAGCCTCACCAGCTCCTCCTCACAGGAAACAACACAGCTATGACCCCTGACCCAGGGACCATGGGGACACTGAAGGGTCAGCTGGTGATGGCAAGGAAAGGGAAGGCTGTCTGCCCGCCTGGTCCAGGGTGCCAGTCCTGGGGGGGGTGACCCAGTGCCCGTCCCCCGTGACGGCAGCCCCCAAGGGTGCTCTCCCCACACACAGCACTGTGGTTACCGCCGGGCGGCGGGGTGGGGGTGCACGGCTTGGTGTCCCAGAGCCAGCCTGAAGACTGGCAGCCGGGAGGCCAGAGCTCTGGTCTTATTACCTCCCGCTTCCCAGGGGCCCTTTCCCTCCCTCAAGGACGAGGAGGTGTGTCCAGAAGGCAGCTGTTTGAACAGCGGTTCACACACCATCGGATTCACACAGGCACAGGTAAGTATGTGTGTTTCAAACACCTGTGACGTGGCTCTTTTCCAGTCACCTTTCCTCCGTGGTGCTGGTTTGGCCACGCTGGGGTAGTGATACAACATTCCCTTCAAAACAAACCTAAGTCTAACAACAAGCCGACGCACAGAAACAGTTAAGCACCCCCTTGTAAAAGCAGTTCACGAGTGTGCTGCAGCCCGAGAGACGGCACTGCGGGGCCTTCACGGGCGCAAACCGACGCCCACCGTGGGCCACCCAGGCGTGGAAGCCGGCCCCGCCCCCGGGGACCTGAGAGGAGATGAGAACGACAGGCAGGGGGGCGCTGCTCCCTAAGGACAGAGGGGAGGAGGACGACCCCTGCGGGGCGCTCGCTCCGGCCAGCCTGCACCTGTCACTCAGATGTCCCTCCTGGCCACCAAGGGTCCGCCACGGACTCCTCTCGACCACACTGCCAGGGGAGAGCGGACACCTCCGTGCCCCGGGGAGGCCCCGAGGCCGACAGAGGGCACACGAGCGCCCACGGCCACGGTCAGTGCCGGGGCTGGGCCTTCCCCTCTCACGTCTCATGCCGCGTTCGCGGGCGCGGAGGAGACGCACACGCGCCGGCCCCCCCTCCCCCCACGCGGCTCACCGACATGGCCAGGTGCAGCGGCGTGTTGCCGTGCTCTCCGCGGGCGTCGGCGTGGGCCCCGTGGGTCAGCAGCACCATCACGCAGTCAAAGCGGCCGCGCATCACCGCCACGTGCAGCGCAGTGTTGCCCGCAGAGCTGGTGCCGTTCACGTCGCTGCCTCGTTTCAGCAGCAGGCGGGCCATCTGTGGGGGCAGGGCCCCAGCCCCGGTCAGCCGGGCACTGCCACTCCCCCCCTCAGAGGGCAAGTTCCAGCAGCGGAAGGGGCCTGGGCGGCAGGCCCCGGTCCTGCGGGGTGGCTCTGGGCCTGGGTCCCACGCCATCAGCACCCAGGACTGGGGCACAAGAGCCGAAGGTGTGCCCACTGCTTTCAGGGGCTTCCAAGGCCTCCTCTGGGGCCCGCAGGGCCCACGCCTCCCTGCAAAGGTCCCCCCGCCGGCCCGGGCCCGGCCCCAGAACAGCCCCACCCCTCGTCACCTCCCCTGGGACCCTGAAGAGGCAGACACTTGGCAGCACACACTCCTGCCCCGCAGCGGCCCCGAGGAGGGAGCCTGGATGTCGGAGCCCCAGGCGCTTGAGCAGCGCCGCTGCCTCCCAGCTGTCTGAGCGTGGGTGGGTCACTGCGCCCCTCTGTGCCTCAGTTTTCTCTGCTGTAAAATGGGAATGCAGGTCCCCCCCTCATCGAGGTGGTGACAGTGAGTGACAAAACATACAGAAAGGGGCCTGACTCCGGTGGCCGGCTCCTGGCATGCAGACGGTGCCCTGCAGGGGCCGGCATGTCCACCTGCTGGCCCGTCACGGCCAGGAGCAGGCCGCGCCCTCCGGGGCCATCTGAGCCGTGCTCCCGGAGGTGAGAGACCAGAGCCCTCTACCCTCCCAGGGGGCCGGAGCGGGGCTCGGGGGCGGGGGGAGGCCCCAGAGGAGATGCCGTGGGAGGAGGTGGCGGCAGCATCTCCATCCACCGCCGCCTCTGCGTGCGAGGCACCTGACGGTTTATGCAGTTTCCTCCCGCACCACCCTGCTGACCCCACACCTCCAGGGGCAGGACCTCGGACACCCAGCGCACACAGGAGAAAGCCACAGGGGGGCACTGTCACTGCGCCAGTGAGCAACGCCAGGGTGTCATCTCTCCTTGGGCTTGTCTGCCGGCGGCCCACTGTGAGCGCAACCCCCAAGCGCCAGCCTTGGGGTCCCCTCAGGAACCTCCTTCCTCAGGCGGCTGAGAGCGAAGGCCCCGGGGACCTGCCCCCTGCCCACCACTGCCCTGGACTCCACCTACCTCCGCGTTCTTGGCCCAGTGGAGGGGGCTGGCGCCGTAGCGTGGGTCTTTGCTGTGCACCTGGCTGCTGTCCATGTTGATGATCATCTCAGCACACCTGGGGAGAGAGGAGCCCGGGGAGTGAGGACGGCCGGACGCAGCCTGGAGCCGGGAGAGGTCACGACTGAGGGTTTCATCCACTGGTTAGGGCGGGTTTCTGCAAATAAAGCTGCAATGACACCAACAGCGCAAACTGTGGTATGTCTAGGGCATCATGAGCCTCTCAAGGCACAGCTCACGCCCCTTCCTCCAGGAAGCCTTCCCTGATGATGCTAATCGGCAATGATCACTCTCACTGGCGCTGGCTTGAGAGTCCGACGGGCTTGGTGTCAAGCCCCAGCTTCCTCCCTGGTGATCTCGTTCAGCTGCAACACGGGGACTGTCCTACAAGGACTGGGTGGGAGTTTAAGGAGACCAGGAATTTCAGCACCTGGTTCTGGGCCTGGCCCTCCATTCCCCAGCCCCCCGGAAGCACTGCTTACTGTGGCAGTGCTCACACTAGCCCACAGGTGGGAGCAACCCAGTGTCCACCGACAGATGGCTGGAAAAGCACCATGTGGCCCAGCCAACAGAAAAGGGAGGAAATGCTGACCCACGCTCCAACACTACTGGACCTTGAGGACATCACACTAAGTAAAACCAGAGTCCTGGAAGGCCAGCAGACAGCAGAGGGGCTCCCAGGTGGGAGTGGGACAGCAGCGCCCTTGGTAACGCCAACGCCCGTGGTTCTCAGAGTGCAGCTACACTGGCTGCCACACGGAGGTGGCCCTGAGGAGCAAGGCTGTGTGCGCGTCAGTGGGGCCTGACCTGCATCATCCTGCAAGGATGGTCTCTGAGGCCTGAGCTACCCGCAGGGCGGCCTGGGCGGGGTAGGGAGGGGGCGTGGCTGCGGGCATCTGAAGAGGTGCAACCTGGAAAACACCAGGGTCCTGGAAGGGACATGGACGGAGCAGGTGACTGGGACTGTAGGGCAGCTGAATTCGAGCAGGAGCAGGGCCACCACGCCAGCTGTAGAGGACAGCATGGCCAGCACTGTGTCCACGCAGATGTCGCCCTGCCACCAGGGAACCTGAGTGCTGGGGGTGAGAGGGCTGGTACTGTCCCTAGCCAGCCACTTGGTCAAGTCTTTCTTAAAATCCCAGCTCATCCTGGCTGTGAGAGAGCAAAGGAGAGGAGGGTGCACTTGGACCAGACCTTCCAGGGGGCAGCAATGCCCAAGGGGCCAGCCAGGTCCCTAGAGGGAGGACAAAAGCTAAGGGAGGGTGAGTGCCCGCCCCTGGCCTGAGCGTGGCCTCTCCGTGCACTCAGCACTGGAAGGTCCAGGTGGCTTCCGAGTCTCCCGTCCCAGAGCTGTCCTCGTCTCCGTCCCTGCGAGGCCAGCACGGAGCACAGTGTCTAGGACTGAGGGGCCGGCTGGCCCATTCATTCATTCACTCATTCATTCATTCATTCTAGATGCTGGACCTGCCAGATAGTGTTTTGAGATAGTTACCTCTTCTATCCTCCCCCCATACCCATTACACACACACATTCACACACACACCACGTGGAAAAGGATTTTCCTGAGACCAGCATTCCCCAGGTGTGGGAGAAGGGAAGCAACGAGAGAAGGTTCTGGAGCTCCCTAAGACATGGGCCTGGGACCTGCGTCCCCACAGCGCCAACCAGGAAGGACACATTCACCTAGGCAGATGGGGCCCTGCGCCGCCCTGACGACCCCTCCTGGGCTCTGAGTCACCCGAAGAAGCTGGGAGCACCACGGCAGGACAGGGCTCAGACCAGGCTGGCGGGCGTGGGGGGAAGAGGACCCAGTTGGTGGGTCCCTCTGGGTCCTGGGGTTGCAGGAGATTCTGGCATGAGACCGCCCCCTGGGGCAGCTGGAAAGGGGGGCCGCAGGGAAGACTAAGGTGGCCCCTCTCCAGTCTGGCAGAGGCAGGGCTACGGTGAGAAGTGAAGGTGCACTTCAGAGCCCACAGACAGAGAGTCACATCGCCGCATAATTTCTTTGTGCCGGGTCAGCCTCTGGCGCCAGAATCTGACGCGCATCCAACGTGCCTGTAGAGCGCACTGCTCTGGCCGGGCGAGGGAGGGCTGGGGCCCGGCACCGTGTGGGTGGGCGGGGGTCAGGGGGAGTGCGGAGTGGGCACGTACTCCTTCTGGGAGAACTTCATGGCCGTGTGGATGGGGTAGCCGCGGGGCCCCAGGACGTTGCAGCGAGCGTTGTACAGCAGCAGCACGTGGACCATCTCCTGCTTCCCCATCTGGCAGGCCAGGTGCAGCGGGGTCAGCCCTTGGTTGTTCACCTGGTTCAGGCCGGCCGACGCGTTCTTCCCGAGGAGCTGCCGGCACAACAGCAGGTGGGCCGGGGCACGGCCCTCCCCCGGCACCCCTGGTGGCCGTGTCTCTCGGGGCACCGAGGGGAGGGCAGCCGGACCCCACGCGAACAAGAGAAGCGACAGAGCAGGGAGGCCGGGGAGGCGAAAAGGGAGCTGACTGCGCCAGTGTTGGCTGGGGCGTGGGTCTGGCAAGGCTGTGGGGCCATTTCCGAATAAAGAAACTGGAAATGAGGTTGCGTCTAGGGGTGGACACGGGGGTCTGGGAGGGCGGGGCAGTGTTTCTTGCTTTTCACTGTGTACCCTTCTGTCCTGCTTGAATGTTTTTCCGTACGTGCGGATACTGTTTTTCAACTGATAAATTACCAGCGTTACAAAGCAAGCCGGGGGGCTTGTAGTTCCTCACGGACGGCTGAGTGCTGTCTCCCCGGGGTTCGTCAGACCCCCCCCCGCCCCCCGCACCCGGGTGGGCAGCTGGGCGCGTCAGCGGCCCAAGGATGCACTGCTCTGGGGCCCTCCCTGGGCAGACTTCTGACCGTCGCTGAGCCCGCTTCTTTAGCAAGGAGGGCGGGCTGATGACGCCCACCCCCGAGGGCGTTCTGAGAATGAACTGGAGCACACTGGGCACTCGACACCCGGGACAGGCCGGGCAGGAGACAAGCGCGCGGTAAGGGACGGGCCCCGCTGCCCGTGACTGCCGTGCGTGCGCCTGGCCTCGCTGGGGCGGGATGCGCGTGGCCCGTGCGTGTGGGCCCTCAGTGTGCACGGCCAGGGTGGAGCTCGGCAGCGGCAGGGGCGTCCCGCCCCAGAGGGCACTCGGCCCTGGGCCGGAGCCCCTGCTCTCTGCAATAAGGCAGCTCCATTCTGGTGCCAAGGCAGAGACAAGGATATATAACCTTTGGAAGAATCTTCTAATTCTAGGCAGTAAACTACTGTCCCGTAATCTGGCTTTTCTATCTCATAAAGGAGCCTTTCAAGAACATCACTACATTTACGCACTCAAAAGTCTGACTTTTATTTTGCTGCCCAGCCAATTGAAGACCGGACGGGGTGCCTCTGGCCCAAGCGCCCAGAGGAGCCGGGTGGCGTTCTGTCTTGTCGGCGTCCCCGTGAGGAGTTAGGCTCGGTCCCCCAGACCACGAACGCCCCCACTCGGGGGTCTGACTCACGGCAGGTGCTCAGGAAGAGCGGAGCTAAACTCACCGGCCGGACCGGGCCTCTCCCAGGGCTGCGAGATCCAACGTGCCTCCTCAACCAGCGTGGGGAGGGAGGGGCAGGGCGGGGGCAGCACCCTCCCCAGAGGAGCTCAGGCCTTAAGGACCAACCAGGGACAGCGAGAGGCCGAGGGTGTCATCTGACCCCGAAGACGGCAGAGGGCACAGGGGGGTGTCGCTGGGCCTGGCGACCCCGCCCCACCCCGCTCACCTGCAGCACCTGGGTGCTGTCGCCCTGGACGGCGTAATGGAAGGCGGTCTCCCCGTTGTTGTCGGTGACGTCCATCTGGGCCTGGCAGTACTGCACCAGCTCCAGCAGGATCTCCGCGTCGCCCTTGCGGCAGGCCAGGTGCAGGGGCGTGCAGCCCTCCTCGTTCTCCCTGCTGTTGGCACAGCTGCGCGGGGGCGGGGGCAGGCCGGTGAGCGAGCGGACACGGCGGTGCGAGGTGAGCAGAGCGCTGAGAAACCCCAGTGAGTGCAGGAGAGGGATGTGGGCTGGGAGTTCGAGGGCGCGCGTGCCGCACTCACACCAGCTGGCTCACACTTGGCGCTGAGTCGCAATGTATGTGTGTCTCCTGTGACCTGTGCCTGTTTTCTGTTCTGGGGACACACCTGCAGGGGGATGTGCCCCAGGGCCACAGCAGCCTGGGTGGGCGGTGGGGTGGCACGGAAAGGGTCACGGAAGGCCGAAATCTCACTGACGTTGGGCAGTTCCCTTAACCTTCCTGGGCTCCAGTGACTGTGTCTGCTAAGGAATGACAACAACCCGGCCACGCCCGCCCCGGGAGCGGACAGACTGTTCGGACGAGACACCGTGACGTCCGAGAACAGGCCCCTCGGCTGCAAAGGGCAGCCAGGAGTCTGGGACACCGGGCCTGGGAGCTGAGCAGAGCGTCCGGGAGGAGCGCCGAGGGAGGTGTGGCCGCCTCGGGACGGGGCTGTGACCAGCAGGCACCTTCACCAGGGCGCCCGCTGCTCCAGTGCGGGTTGGGGGGGTGTCTGAGAGCACGGGTCCCAGGTCCCAGAGGGGCAACCAGACCTCTGGAAGGAAGGGGACCCCAGGGTCTGAAGCCTCTCTGGGCTGCTGAGGCTGAGCAGCCCGGCACAAGTCGAGTGGCTTCTCACTGGGATGCAGTACTTCGTGGGGGTGCTGGGAGGGTTCAAGGTCATGGTGAGTGCAAGACAGATACCCTGGGTCTAGCACCTGCCTGGCAGGGGCCCCAGCAAAGTTTTCCCTTCGACTTTAGTCAGCGTCCCCACGGACGGTCAACGTCAGAACCCGGAGGCAGTGCTGCCCCTCTGTGCGCCAAACATTCTGGGCAACCCTCGCGTTCATGGAGGGGAACTGAGGCAGGGCAGAGAGACTCCCTAAGGCCCCACCTGGCCACACACACTGTCCCAAGGGTCCTGGCCCCCTGCCCCACCCGGCAAGGCCCCCGCCCACCTGATGACGCGGCTATGGTGGAAGCACTCTCGGATGCCCAGCTCCACCGCCACGTGGGCCACGGACCAGCTGGGGTGGCTGCGGATGAGGTCGGTCAGCTGCTGCAGCACGTCCACCTGCAGGACTCGGGCAGAGCTCTCGTAGAAGGGCGGCAGCTGGGCCGAGAACAGCTGAAAGTGCGCCAGGGCGTCGGCCTCCGCCTCCAGCTGGAAGAGTCTGAGGGCACCGGACCGGGGAGGGAGACGGGAATGAGCCACGAGGGATCGCGTCAGCAGCCTCGGGTCCCGACAGGGAGGACACTGCCCCACCCCACTGGCTGGACGCCGCTCCCCCGGCACACACATGTGCACCCCAGATGGAGTTGGGACTTCCTTTTTATTTGAAAAGATTTCCCTTTTTTTAATTTTATATCATCATGTGGTGCTTTTAGATTTTATTTCACCCCAAGCCATGCCATGTCCACTTTCTAGTCTGACTGTCACAGCTGGGAGCCCCGGCCCCAAGTCCCCAGCCCCTCGGACGTGGGAGGAAGGGAGGAAGGATGTCGTTTAACCTAAACGTCCAGAGTATTATAGAAATCGTGGTGCATCTGTGGTGGAATATTATGCAACCACAAAAGTGAGATATTAACAAGGCAAGCAGCCCTGACTGGTGTGGCTCAGTTGGTTGGGCAAAGTGTCCTGCAAAGCCAAAGGTCCCCGGTTCGATTCCCAGTTCGATCCCCAGTCAGGGCACAGGCCTGGGGCTGTGCGTTTGGTCCCCAGTCGGGGTGCACACGAGAGGCAACCGATCGGCGTTTCTCTCTCACGTCGACGTTTCCTTCCCTCTTTCTCCCTCCCCGCCCCCTCTCTAAGAATAAATACATTTTTAAAAATTTTAAAGAAGAAAAAAAAATTTTTTAAAGAAGAAATCAATTTAGCTTAATTTAAAAACAGAGAAAAGTTATTTTGTAATGTTAAATTTAAAAACGGGATGCAAACTTTGTATGATACATGACCTAAACTGTGTTTTTAAAAAGACTGGAAGGAAATACGTGAAAATGTGCATAGTAGCATAATAATTTTAAAGGTTCTTTGTCCGCTTCTGGGGTCCCTAAAGTTCCTGCGAGGAGTCCAGATCATCGCTGCAGTCAGGAAAAGACGTCTTGTTCACTGGGAAGGCCGCGCGGGAGCCCGGGGCCCTCAGGGGAGGCTGCTGCGTGGAGGTGGAGCCGCCCGTCCCCCTTGGGGCCCTCCCAGAGGCAGCAGCCCACCCGCCCTGTCCGGTCCGCCCCCCACAGGTGCTGTGGGGGTCAGATGGTCGCGTAAATGCACTGTAAAAACCGAAAAGATCACACGTTGGGTGACAGCCACTTGAAGTCCTGCCCAGGGCTTTCAGCACACCGGCTTCCTCCCCCCCGACCTCCGCACACCCAGAGACCAGCCCGAGGGTCTGGCAGTGGCCAGAGGTGCTGGCTGGACGGGGCCAGCAGGTGCTTCCCCAGAGGGAGCAACTGCACAGCAAGTGTCCGCTGAGAGCCTGCCCAGCGCGGGACCCTGTCCACACGGAGGGTGGGCGTGTGAGCGAGCGAAGCAGACGGCGCGCCCTGCCTCCTGGTGGAGCTCAGGAAAACGCGAGAGGGAGCAATCCAAATGAGGAAGTCGGCGAAACAGACCCTTGGCAAGAAGCGCGACAGAAAAAACAGAGTGGGAGAGAGGGCCGCCCCTCACTGTCCTCGGCCGCAGGCTGCTTCGTCTCACTGGCCCCTCCACACCCAATGTCGCTGTGACGTCAGGGAGAAAGCGGCTGGGACTGGGCCCAGGAACTGGCCCCAGGGTCTGGAGTCGCTGAGGCGTGCGAGACCTTGACAGGGCACTTTTGATGGAGGGAGTGTGGGAACCAAAGCCCGATTAGAATGGGTTTCAGAAAGAAGGGGAAGGGAGAAGCTGGAGACAGCAAATACAGACCAGGCGGAGTCTTCTGCAGAGGGGCAAATAAAGGCAGCTACTGGGGAACGTGGAATCGGGCTTTTGAACGCCGATGGGATGACCCCCAAGAAAATGGGGTCCCTCTGAGGACTTCCACTTCCGTTAATGGCAGACTAGGTAATGTCAACAAGGTCACCAGCTGGAGATGACCAGAAATACTGGACAAAACACAGAGGGCACCTGTGTGCAGTGCTGGGTGCCTGGCCAGCCAGCCAGCCAGCCAGCGATGAACGGCCAGGCTGGAAGGGATCACGGACACGCAGGGAGTGAGCCCGATGTCCAGGCTGCTCTTTCCCGAGAGGCTGGGGGGGACACGCGGCGGCAGGAACAACCTCGCAGGCTCAGGGGACGGGGGCTGGAGGCCAGGGGTCTGCAAGCAGACAGCCCTGATGATCACCCCTCCTGTGGGCAGGGGTCCTGAACGTCTTCACGCTAGGAATTAAGGGCAGGCCACAAGGAAACAGACCCTCATGAGGGCTGTAGCTCAGCCTCCAATCATTTCACTTCCAGAAACTAGACTGAGGTTGTACCCAATGAGCCTGCTCCCCGGTACCTTGGAGAAGCGAACCCAAGGGAAGCATGGAACGGGGCTTCAGACGCTTCCTGCCAGCACTGTCGCGAACCCGGGGTCCGGCACGTCATTGAAACACGCCGGCCCACGAGGAGCTGCGCCAGGACAAACGAGAACCAACAGACACGGGCCTGTAAGGGAGTGGCCACAGATTAATTAGAGTTATCTGACACAGATTTCAAAACGACTGCGATGATACTCAAGAGCATAAAACAGAAGGTTTGCAATTTCGACGCAGAACTTTAAACTACAAAAAAAAAGTGGAAATTACAGAATTGAAAAATACGATTGTCAAAATGAAGACAGTGGCTAGGTATAACAGCAAGTTAGGCAATGCTGACGAGCAAGCAGGAAATAGGAGAGAAAAGAGTAAACAGAGAGAAGCACGAAGAGGCGAAGGCTGGGAGAATACAGGGAAGTGGAATAAAGACACAATATACGATGAAAAGATCTAACATACATACAAGTGCAGACACAAAGACAGAACAGAAAAAGTATTGGACAGAAGCCATATGTGAAGAGTTAGTAACTGTGAACTTTCCAAAACTGATGAAAAACGTTGATTTAAAATACCTTCTGAGCCTTCCTCCACCAAAAAGAAGAGAAGAAGAAGAGGAGGAGGAGGAGGAGGAAGAGGAGGAAGAGGAGGAAGAGGAGGAAGAGGAGGAAGAGGAGGAAGAGGAGGAGGAGGAAAGAAACTCACACTTAAGGACCCTGTAGAGGTTCTAAGACATGGCCCAGAACTCTCTGACACCCCTCCCACTAGGGGGGGATGTACAGCCCCTTTACTCTTTACTCTGGCTCCTTAACTGCTTCCCAACAGGACACGGCAGAAGTGATGCTGTCCTAGTTTCTGGACCAAGGCCTCAAGGGACTGGAAGCTTCCCCCTCTTTTCTCTTGGGACCCAGCCATCACGCTGCCACAGGGAAGCTGAAGCGCCCGTGCAAATGGCTGCTGGTCCCGGACCTCTGGCCCTGGACAAACGCCCAGCCCACAGCCGGCACCAACTGGCCAGGTGCGAGGGAGTCACTGCAGGGCGGACCCTGCAGTCAAGCCGCACTGGCTGACGCCGCGGGGAACGGCACTGAGGCGTGCCCACCGAGCTCCACTCAAACCACGGACCTGCGGGCTGCAGGACTGAGACGGTGCTCAGCCACCAAGTTCGGGGGCCATTTGTTGCACTAACAAACCCACAGCACTAACGGGGGGGACACGCACCAGGGGACACACAGGAACAGCGGGGACTGACATATGCGCCCTATTGCAGCTGCTGAGAACAAAATCCAAGGAGAAAATATGAACAATAGCAGAGGGGAACGGTCATCTTCAAAGACAACCACGTACACCGCCAGCTGGCTTGTCAACAATGGAAGCCAGAGATGCTGGACTCACGACCTCAAACAGCTAAATAAATACGTAAGTAAATACCAAAGAGAACTCTACACCCAGCAAGAAACGCCCTACAAGTATGAAGCGGAAATGAAAACATTTCGCTGGTCGGAAAGAGAGAGACGGGGAGACGGGCTGTCACCAGCAGACCTAAACGAAAGGAAACATAGAAGTGTGTTCATCGAGCAGAAGGAACCTAGTCCCAGACGGGTGATCGGAGATAAAGATGCAGGGAAGACGTGAGGCACCACGAACACGGTGAATATGTGGACAAATCTAAATGAACGCTGACAGTGTAATGCCTTCTTGGGCTAAAAAGAAAAGCATTAATAAAAAAAAAAAAAAAACAGTACAGGCACAGAAGCCTGCAGCGGTGCAAACGCAGTTAGGGGGGTTCTAAGACCTGTCTATGGTTCTGGAAGATTCGAGAATACCACTTGTACTTCAGTCAGGCCAAGGACGTATGTTTCAATCTCTAGAGCTCTGTCGAGAGCTGCGGAGGGTTCCAGATTGTGCCCTGGTTGCGCGCGGACGAGCCAGCCGACACGGTTTCATGGATGCTGGCAGGAGACACAAGATTCCTGGATCAAAGACAAAGGGCGACTTATGACTCACGGCAACAGCAGTGGCCAGTGTCGGCCTCGGAGCCAATTCCCTGGGATCCAGTTCCCACAGGGTGACACGAAGAGGGTCAGGTGACACCCGCTCATGTTGCATTCAAAGAGAGAAACCCTGAGTGCAGGGAACCTGAATCTTGTATAATCGTCAATAAGCAAATCTGTTTAAGTTCTGCTCTGGAGGAAGACACAGAGGAGTAAGCAGACCCAACGTCCGCTCTGGAGACCCCACCTCCGTCTTCCAAAACTGGTCACGTGTGAACATCCTTGTACAGAGAGCCTGGGGCAAAGGGAGTGGGCGTCTGCCAGCAAGACGCACACAACCACAGATGACCCGCAGAGAACTGTCCCCCAGCAGGTACCACTAAAAGATGCTGATAGAGTGCACAATTTTCAACACAGAGGGAAAAGGAAATAATAAGAAAACAGTCGTGAATTGCAAAAGCATTATGGTAAGTGGGAAAAAAAGTTAGACTCCTGAGACCACATTACGATTAAATGTGGTAACAGTAAAACCATAGTAAAGGAAGAAGATCAGTGTTTCCCAGAGGCCGTGGTCGGCACAGGGGCCGCGTCATTGTGAAGGAGCAGGAAAGGCCTCTGGGGAACAGAGATGTTCTGTAGGGTGACTGCAGAGACGGTTACACGAGTGGCCCTCATTGGACAGTGCA